CACATTCCTATAGCAGCCAAACAGTAGTTTGTCTTTGGAAAGACTTGATAAACAATTTAAGAAAACTTTCGTTAATGAAATTGTTTGACTAATGCTGAGATTAAATGGGAGGAAGAAGTTGTGTTCCTGACACCCAGTTTTGCTAGCACACAGTGGGCTTCTGTGTTGTGGTGCAGTGTTGACTTGATGGGGACTTTGTCACCCAGATAGGGGGACAATTAAAGGAAAATACAAATATTTACAGAAAAGCCCATTTCTACAATATAATATGACAGTCAACCTCAACTCTTTCTCATAAGAAATTACCACAGAACACCGAAGGTCAGAGATGAAACCACAGGTATACATTTGTGGTATGTTTTAGACAGATGTGAGCTCATTCAGGAGAACAGTAGCCAAACATCATGTAGGAATAATCAGTTAATCCCAGATCAAGGTAATACACCCTGCTTGACAACAATGGCCTTACTGGTGCTTCAGTTACCATTCTGCAGTGGCTCCACATGCAGATGACTTGCCAGACTGGCAAAGTGACCTTGCAGAACAGCAGATAGGTGTACTCTTACTCTAGGAAATTGTAGGTGGCACTAACTGAGATTTTGAGCCCGAGGCACACATTCTGTTTTCAAGTGGACACTCAGAAGTTCTTTGAGACCTAGAAGGCTGCTGAGCTCTCTGTGTCTGTGTGATGTGTGTCTGGATAAAATACTGGGCTTCAGTGGGCTGTCAAAAGAGAGGTCCCTCTCCTCCTTATCTGCCCTTTAAAATACTCTCCTCCTCTCTGCTGAATTCTGAAAGAGATTCTGTACTGAAAATGATAGCACTTGGTCTGTTTGTAACACTATCCTCATTTTGGCTTAAACAACGAGGCTAAGAAATAGTTTAAGCCTCAGGAAACATCATTATTATCTACATAGTGCTTTCCTTTGAAAAGCCTAACTCTCCACTGTTTGCTGTTTGTTTCCATGCCAGCTTTGTACATTACTGACAGGAACCTGCACCCCTCTGCAAACAGCATAATTTATTTAACCACTCAGCAGTTTCCTCTATTTCTCATTGCCCTTTATGCAATACCATTTGTTTTTAACTGGCATTTTCTAAATCCTATTCAAATGACTTTTTCCTCTCTCGTCAGCTTGGAAACTGAAATACGCCACAGCCCAAGAAGTTGTTCCACGCAACTTCTTAAAAAGAGCTGCTTGAAAAGCGCCATGTGTTTGTCAGTATCCTCATGTGGGTAGTGAGTTGAACCCTCACAAAACAGTCTGTGTGCCTGGTACCAGTGTCTCAGGCAGGAAACAAAACAGTTTCAAAGAGGAACACAACAGTCTCTTTAATATCAAATTATAAATAATTCTACTGATATTGCAGGGCAGGACTTCAGCTAACACAGCACCCAGACTCCAACCTCCCCCTGCATCCTGACTGCTGCTGCCATTGTCACGAGCCACACAGAAGCAAGGGACAACCCTGGTCTCAGGTTTTACCACCTGTACCTTGGGAGCAAGACCCTGGCATGGCAGGTATCTCTCTCCCAACCAGTTCCCTGATTTGGATTTGGGAAGGTCTGAGGCTGTTTCCAACAGGCAGTTTGGGCACTGTCTCAGTATTTTGGACTCTAAGAATCTGACCATGTAGATGTGGCCAGCTCATGTCCTGTGGCTAGAGGATGGACTCTGGAAGTATTTAGGGTAAACAGTCATTTTCCTCTCCTTTTTGTTATATTATATTTCTAATCTGCCTTTCACCTCTGAAATGAAGAAGGAAATGCAAATCACCTTTCTGGTAATTTTTGGTCATGTTCCTTTATCACCAAGCATACTTGTCTTTTGCTTAGATAAAGGAAACAATACATGTGGCTTCCATATATGTTGTACAGATACAAAATATGATGTAAAATTTGTTTTTAATGCCTTTGAGTATCCATGCAAATATGCTGGGTTATTAGAAAGTAAGGATTTTTCAGCTGGAATATTTATTTGCCACATAACAAACACTGAAGTGTAGCTGTGACATCAGTACTTGGAACAAATGAACCATTAATCAAGAAAGCAGCCTGACCTTACCTATTTGCATGGTCCTGTTGTCCCCAAGGCTTCTGTATTTCCATTTACAAGTCCCAATTGCTGATATTTTGGCTTAAAAACTGTAGCTGTATTTATGGAGGAAAGTAGATAGACAATAAAAAAAGCACTTAATCCAACATAATTCTTCTTCATAATAACTGTACTTAAGAAGTTGATGGTTGAGTGGCATTCCTATTGCACATGCAGTCATAGTAAATGATACCTTAAAATGCGGACAGCTATTCTTCCTCTATACTAAGGAAAATCTTATAAAGGACTATCAAACAAAACTTTCTATGCACCAGGAAACACAATATTTTTCTCTGTGAACCCAACTAAGCCTAGATTTCTTCTCTTCGATACAGTGATGATTTTTTTTTTATTTCATAATTTTACTCAATGCAAAAATAATCATATCTAAGAGGAACTATAAAAAATGTACCTGCTTTACAGGAAATACAGATTTTTTTAAGTTGCCTGGTGTGATGACATTGCATATGACTTGGAACAGCATTCTTTCAAGGTTTCTAAAACTGAAGTGGAATCAGACAAAGTTTTGTTGTGAGACAGAGTTGCATAGCCAAATTGGTAGGCTATCCTCAGCAGAATTACATTTCTTCATTCTGTGGGTGATAACTCTCTTTCTACCTTTCTTTCTTTTTTGCCTAAATGGCTATGGGGAAAAAAAGACTCCAAGGCAAATTAGGTAAGAGATAAGATAAGGATACAAAGGCTTTAATGAGCCCCCAGGCTTCCAGGAAATGCCACCACGTGCTCCAGAATACAGGTGTTTTCAGTTTTTATAATGATTCTCACCCAATCCTCATCTGGCCACCACCCACGTTCTGCCCCTGCCACGGCTCTCGGGAATTGGGTCTGCGGGCATTTTGGGACCCCCTCTTCTTCATCTTCCTCAGAGTATGTACTGTTCTTGGAGGCCTTCCAGGGCTCTAGGCCTGAAGATTTTTGCATCTATGACCATATTTCTTGTGCAGATTTTAGGGTGCTCTCTAAAATTCTACCTTGAAAATGAACCTAAACAGGCCAGTGGAATTTAGGGGAATTGATATGGGAATGGGTTAAAGGGTTTGCTATGTGTGGTTGGTGTGTTAAAGGGTAAAGGGATAATGTGTTGCTACTTTAAAATCTACATTTACTATATAACAATTTCTAAAACCTACAAATATTAAAAAATCAAAACTCCAACGTATCATTTTTTTTTTTCTTTCTTTTGCTTTCTTTCTTTTTATTCTTTCTCTCGATCTTTCTGCCTTTCTTTCTTCTTTCTTTCTCTTCCTTTCTTCCTTTCTTCCCTTCCTTCTTTCCTGCCTTCCTGCCTTTCTTCCTTCCTTTCTTTCCTTCCTTTCCTTCTTTCTCCCTTTCTTTCTTTCTCTCCCTGTTTCTTTACCTCTTTCATTATTTCCCTCTTTCCTTCCATCTTTCTTTCTTTCTCTCTTCTTCTCTCTCTTTTGCTCTTTAGCTCTTTCTTTCTCTTTTTCTTTCTTTATTTCTTTCTTTCTGTTGTCTTTATTTCTTTCTTTCTCTTTGTCTGTCTTTATTTCTTTCTTTCTCTTTGTCTTTATTTCTTTCTCTTTTTCTGTCTTTCTTTCTTTCTCTTTTTCTGTCTTTCTTTCTTTCTCTTTGTCTTTCTTTCTTTCTCTTTGTCTTTCTTTCTTTCTCTGTCTTTTTTTCTCTGTCTTTTTTTCTCTGTCTTTCTTTCTTTCTCTTTGTCTTTCTTTCTTTCTTTCTCTTTGTCTTTCTTTCTTTCTCTTTGTCTTTCTTTCTCTTTGTCTTTCTTTCTCTTTGTCTTTCTTTCTCTTTGTCTTTCTTTCTCTTTGTCTTTCTTTCTCTTCTGTCTTTCTTTCTCTTTGTCTTTCTTTCTTCTTCTGTCTTTCTTTCTCTTTGTCTTTCTTTCTCTTTGTCTTTCTTTCTCTTTGTCTTTCTTTCTCTTTGTCTTTCTCTTTGTCTTTCTTTCTCTTTGTCTTTCTTTCTCTTTGTTTTCTTTCTTTCTCTTTGTCTTTCTTTCTTTCTCTTTGTCTTTCTTTCTTTCTCTTTGTCTTTCTTTTTTTCTCTGTCTTTTTTTCTCTGTCTTTCTTTCTTTCTGTCTTTCTTTCTTCTCTGTCTTTCTTTCTTTCTTTCTGTCTTTCTTCTCTTCTCTTTGTCTTTCTTCTTTCTTTCTCTTCTGTCTTTCTTTCTTCTCTTCTGTCTTTCTTTCTGTCTTTCTCTTTCTGTCTTTCTTTCTTTCTCTTTGTCTTTCTTTCTCTTTCTTTATTTCTTTCGCTTTGTCTTTCTTTCTTTCTCTTTCTTTATTTCTTTCGCTTTGTCTTTCTTTCTTTCTCTTTCTTTATTTCTTTCGCTTTGTCTTTCTTTCTTTCTCTTTCTTTATTTCTTTCGCTTTGTCTTTCTTTCTTTCTCTTTGTCTTTCTTTCTTTCTCTTTGTCTTTCTTTATTTCTTTCTTTCTCTTTATTTCTTTCTCTGTCTTTATTTCTTTCTTTCTCTGTCTTTATTTCTTTCTTTCTCTTTTTCTTTATTTCTCTTTGTCTTTCTTTCTTTCTTTCTCTTTATTTCTTTCTTTCTCTTTTTCTTTCTTTCTCTTTGTCTTTCTTTCTTTCTTTGTCTTTATTTCTTTCTTTCTCTTTGTCTTTCTTTCTCTTTGTCTTTCTTTCTCTTTGTCTTTCTTTCTCTTTGTCTTTCTTTCTCTTTGTCTTTCTTTCTTTCTTCTTTCTTCTGTCTTTCTCTTCTTCTTCTTTCTTTCTCTTTCTGTCTTTCTTTCTCTTTCTCTGTCTTTCTTTCTCTTCTGTCTGTCTTTCTTTCTGTCTGTCTTTCTTTCTTCTGTCTGTCTTTCTTTCTTTCTTCTGTCTTTCTTCTCTCTGTCTTTCTTTCTTTCTCTTCTGTCTTTCTTTGTCTTTCTTTCTGTCTTTCTTTCTTTCTCTTTGTCTTTCTTTCTCTGTCTGTCTTTCTTTCTCTTTGTCTTTCTTTCTCTTTGTCTTTCTTTCTCTTTCTGTCTTTCTTTCTGTCTTTCTTTCTTTCTCTTCTTCTTTCTTTCTGTCTTTCTTTCTGTCTTTCTGTCTTGTCTTTCTTTCTTGTCTTTCTTTCTGTCTGTCTTTCTTTCTGTCTGTCTTTCTTTCTGTCTGTCTTTCTTTCTGTCTTTCTGTCTTCTTCTTTTTCTTCTCTTTCTGTCTTCTTTCTTTCTGTCTGTCTTTCTTTCTGTCTGTCTTTCTTCTCTGTCTGTCTTCTCTTCTGTCTTTCTTTCTTTCTGTCTTTCTTTCTTCTGTCTGTCTTTCTTCTTTCTGTCTTTCTTTCTCTTGTCTGTCTTTCTTTCTTTCTTTCTGTCTTTCTTTCTCTGTCTGTCTTTCTTTCTGTCTGTCTTTCTTTCTGTCTTTCTTTCTTTCTGTCTTTCTTTCTGTCTTTCTTTCTGTCTTTCTTGTCTGTCTTTCTCTTCTGTCTTTCTTTCTTTCTTTCTGTCTTTCTTTCTGTCTGTCTCTCTTTCTGTCTTTCTTTCTTTCTGTCTTTCTGTCTGTCTTTCTTTCTGTCTTTCTTTCTCTTTTCTTTCTTTCTCTCTTTCTTTCTCTCTGTCTGTCTTTCTCTGTCTGTCTTTCTTTCTGTCTTTCTTTTTCTGTCTGTCTTTCTTTCTGTCTTTCTCTCTGTCTGTCTTTCTTCTTTCTTTCTTTCTGTCTTCTTTCTGTCTTCTCTTTCTTTCTTTCTCTCTTCTGTCTTTCTTTCTTCGTCTGTCTTTCTTTCTTTCTTTCTGTCTGTCTTTCTTTCTGTCTGTCTTTCTTCTGTCTTCTTTCTTTCTTTCTGTCTTTCTTTCTCTCTGTCTTTCTTTCTCTCTGTCTGTCTTTCTTTCTGTCTTTCTGTCTTCTTCTCTGTCTGTCTTTCTTTCTGTCTGTCTCTTCTTGTCTGTCTTTTCTCTCTGTCTGTCTTTCTCTTTCTGTCTTTCTTTTTCTTTCTTTCTCTTTTCTTCTTTCTTTCTTTCTGTCTTTCTGTCTTCTTTCTTTCTTTCTGTCTTTCTTTCTTCTTTCTGTCTTGTCTTTCTTTCTTTCTTCTTTGTCTTTCTTTCTGTTCTCTTTTCTTTCTTTCTTTCTTTCTTGTCTTTCTTTCTTTCTTTCTTGTCTTTCTTTCTGTCTTTCTGTCTGTCTTTCTCTGTCTGTCTCTTTCTGTCTTTCTTCTTTCTTTCTGTCTCTCTTTCTTCTTTCTGTCTCTCTTTCTTTCTGTCTGTCTTTCTTTCTGTCTTTTCTGTCTGTCTTTCTCTCTGTCTTTCTTTCTTGTCTTTCTTTCTCTGTCTTTCTTTCTGTCTGTCTTTCTTTGTCTTTCTTTCTTTCTGTCTTCTTTCTTTCTCTTTCTGTCTCTCTTTCTTGTCTTTCTTCTGTCTTTCTTTCTGTCTTTCTCTTCTCTGTCTTTCTTTCTGTCTTTCTTTCTGTCTTCTCTTTCTGTCTTTCTTTCTGTCTGTCTTTCTTTCTCTGTCTTTCTTTCTGTCTGTCTCTTCTTGTCTGTCTTCTTTCTTTCTGTCTTTCTGTCTGTCTTTCTCTTCTGTCTTTCTTTCTGTCTGTCTTTCTTCTGTCTTTCTGTCTTTCTTTCTGTCTTTCTTTCTTCTCTTTGTCTGTCTTTCTCTCTGTCTTTCTTTCTCTTTGTCTTTCTTTCTCTTTGTCTTTCTTTCTCTTGTCTGTCTCTCTTCTGTCTGTCTCTCTCTCTGTCTGTCTCTTCTGTCTGTCTTTCTTTGTCTGTCTTTCTGTCTTTCTCTCTGTCTGTCTTTCTCTTTGTCTCTCTTTCTTCTGTCTGTCTTTCTTTGTCTGTCTTTCTCTTCTGTCTCTTTCTCTGTCTCTCTCTCTCTGTCTGTCTTTCTCTCTGTCTCTCTTCTTTCTGTCTCTTCTCTTCTGTCTTCTCTTCTGTCTCTCTCTTCTGTCTCTCTTGTCTTCTTCTGTCTGTCTTTCTTCTGTCTCTCTTTCTTGTCTGTCTGTCTTTCTTTCTCTGTCTTTTCTTTCTTTCTGTCTTTCTTTCTTTGTCTTTCTTTCTGTCTCTTTCTGTCTTCTTCTTCTGTCTGTCTTTCTTCTGTCTTTCTCTTTTGTCTTTCTTTCTTTCTTTGTCTTTCTGTCTTTCTGTCTTTCTTTCTTCTTTCTTTCTTCTTCTGTCTGTCTTTCTTTCTTTCTGTCTGTCTCTTTCTCTCTGTCTCTCTTCTCTTGTCTTTCTTTCTTTTCTTTCTGTCTTTCTCTTCTTGTCTGTCTTCTCTCTTCTCTTTGTCTTTCTTTCTCTGTCTGTTCTTTCTTGTCTTTCTCTGTCTGTCTTTCTTTCTGTCTTCTTTCTGTCTGTCTTCTTCTGTCTGTCTTTCTCTTCTGTCTTTCTCTCTGTCTTCTGTCTGTCTTTCTTTCTCTGTCTGTCTTTCTGTTCTGTCTCTTTCTGTCTTTCTTTCTTTCTGTCTTTCTGTCTTTCTTTCTGTCTGTCTCTTTCTGTCTGTCTTTCTCTTCTGTCTGTCTTTCTCTCTGTCTGTCTTGTCTTCTCTTTGTCTTTCTTCTCTGTCTGTCTTTCTTTCTTTCTGTCTTTCTGTCTGTCTCTTTCTCTGTCTGTCTTCTCTTTCTTGTCTGTCTTTCTGTCTGTCTTTCTTTCTTTCTGTCTTTCTTTCTTCTTCTGTCTTTCTTTCTGTCTGTTTTCTTTCTTTCTTTCTGTCTTTTCTTTCTGTCTGTTCTTTCTTGTCTTTCTTTCTTTCTCTTTCTTTCTTCTGTCTGTCTTTCTTTCTGTCTTTCTTTCTTTCTTTCTTTCTCTGTCTTTCTTTCTGTCTTTCTTTCTTTCTTTCTGTCTTTCTCTTCTGTCTTTCTTTCTGTCTCTCTTTCTTTCTCTCTTCTTTCTTCTCTTTCTTCTTTCTTTCTTCTCTTTCTTTCTTTCTTTCTTCTTTCTGTCTTTCTTTCTTCTTTCTGTCTTTCTTTCTCTTCTTTCTTTCTTCTCTGTCTTTCTTTCTTTCTTCTTCTTTCTTTCTTTCTTCTTTCTTTCTGTCTTTCTTTCTTTCTGTCTCTTCTTTCTGTCTTTCTCTTCTTCTTTCTTTCTTTCTCTTGTCTTTCTTTCTTCTTTCTCTGTCTTTCTTTCTTTCTTCTCTTGTCTTTCTCTCTTGTCTTTCTTTCTGTCTGTCTTTCTCTCTGTCTGTCTTTCTCTTTCTGTCTTTCTCTTTTCTTTCTGTCTCTTTTTCTGTCTTTCTCTTTTCTTTCTTTCTGCTTTCTTTCTTTCTCTCTTTCTTTCTCTGTCTCTTCTTCTCTCTTCTTTCTTTCTTTCTCTTTTCTTTCTTTCTCTTCTCTTTCTTCTTTCTCTTCTGTCTTTCTCTTTCTTTCTTTCTTTCTCTTTTCTTTCTTTCTTTCTTCTGTCTCTTTCTTTCTTTCTCTTTCTGTCTTCTTTCTTTCTTTCTGTCTTTCTTTCTTTCTTTCTTTCTTTCTGTCTTTCTTTCTTTCTTTCTTTCTGTCTTTCTTTCTTTCTTTCTTTCTTCTTTCTTTCTTTCTTTCTTTCTTTCTGTCTCTCTTTCTTTCTTTCTCTCTCTGTCTTTCTCTCTGTCTTTCTTTCTCTTTTCTTTCTTTCTTTCTCTGTCTTTCTCTCTTTCTGTCTTTCTTTCTGTCTTTCTTCTTTCTCTTCTTTCTGTCTTTCTTTCTTTCTGTCTTTCTTTCTTTCTTTCTGTCTTTCTTTCTCTGTCTCTTTTCTTTCTTTCTTTCTTTCTTTCTTTCTTTCTTTCTTTCTCTTTCTCTTTTTCTTTCTTTCTCTTTTTCTTTCTTTCTCTTTTTCTTTCTTTCTCTTTTTCTTTCTTTCTTTCTTTCTTTCTTTCTTTCTTTCTTTTTCTCGTTTTCTTTCTTTCTTTCTCTTTTTTTTCTTTCTTTCTCTTCTTTCTCTTCTTTCTTTCTTTCTCTTCTGTCTTTCTTTCTCTCTGTCTTTCTTTCTCTCTTGTCTTTCTCTCTCTCTGTCTTCTCTTTCTTTCTTTCTTTCTTCTCTCTTTGTCTCTCTCTTTGTTACTCTCTTTGTTACTCTCTTTGTCTCTCTCTTTGTCTCTCTCTCTTTGTCTCTCTCTTTGTCTCTCTCTTTGTCTCTCTCTTTGTCTCTCTTTCTCTTTGTCTCTCTCTTTGTCTCTCTCTTTGTCTCTCTCTTTGTCTCTCTCTTTGTCTCTCTTTCTTTCTCTTTGTCTTTCTTTCTCTGTTTTTTTTTCTTTCTCTGTCTTTCTTGCTCTTTCTCTTTCTCTCTCTTTCTCTTTCTGTCTTTGTCTTTCTCTTTCTCTTTGTCTTTCTTTCTCTGTCTTTCTCTTTGTCTTTCTTCCTTTCTTTCTCTTTCTTTCTTTCTCTTTCTTTCTCTTTGTCTTTCTTCCTTTCTTTCTCTTTCTTTCTTTCTCTTTCTTTCTTTCTCTTTGTCCTTCTTTCTTTCTCTTTCTTTCTTTCTCTTCTTTCTCTTTCTTTCTTTCTTTCTCTTTCTTTCTTTCTCTTCTTCTTTCTTTCTTTCTCTTTCTTTCTTTCTTTCTTTGTCTTTCTTTCTTTCTTTCTTTCTTTCTTTCTTTCTTTCTTTCTTTCTTTCTTTCTTTCCCTTTTTCTTTCTTTCTTTCTTTCCCTTTCTTTCTTTCTTTCCCTTTCTTTCTTTCTTTCCCTTTCTTTCTTTCTTTCTCTTTCTTTCTTTCTCTTTGTCTTTATTTCTTTCTTTCTTTCTCTTTCTTTCTTTCTCTTTGTCTTTATTTCTTTCTTTCTCTTTGTCTTTATTTCTTTCTCTCCTTGCCTGCCTTGCCTGCCTTGCCTGCCTTGCCTGCCTTGCCTGCCTTGCCTGCCTTCCTTTCTGCCTACCCTCCTTCCTTTCTCTGCCTTCCTTCTTCCCTTCTTTTTTTCCATCTTTATTCTCTTTTGTCTTTTTTTTTTCTTTCTCCCTCCCCACCTCCCTCCCTTCCTTTCTTCCCAAATCAAAAAAGTAATCATTGTGTTTCTAAATGACTCTTTGCAGTACAATATACTTATAGTTTATTAATGGAAATAATTGTATCCTATAGAAGTTAAAGACAAATTTGGAACCTTTTACCTTCCATTACTCTGTCAGCCACCATAACTCTTCCACTACTGTAATTGCTTTTCTAGCTCTCACTTTTGCTCAAGAGAGTGTATGAAATACAACCTGCAGCTCAATGGGGAAGGTACTGCTCTTCAGTTTATTATGAGAATGCCAGTCAATCAAGGCTGCCTCACTAACTTGTCCCTGAAGAGATGAAATTCACCTCCTTTTTCCAATTTTATCTTTCTTCCTGTCCCCAAAATACATTTAATAAATTGTCGTTTTTACTCTTATTTAGTGAAGGAAACTCAAATATATCACATAATCTCTGATATAAATTTCTAACTTTAGTAGTTTGACTTTTATGATTAGAATAACCGGTGTAAAAATAACTCCATCTACAGGTACAGAAGAAAGCATCGTATTAGATGTGGAGGATTACCCTGATAAAATGTATGATATGCCTTTCTTTTAAGTATATATATATATATAAGTAATAATTCATTTTTCTTCCCTCATAAGTATTTCTTGTTGTTCCCATTATTTCTGTATTGCTGCTTCTGTTTCTTTGCTTGTTAGATCCAAATTAAAACCATGCTAAATTGTATCACCTTTTTATATATACTGTTCTTAGTAACTTGTACAGTGATGTGGAATAGAACAAGAGAAGAAACTACTTATGATCATTTCATCATGATTCAGAGAAATCCTTCATCACCTTGTTCGTCGCTTTGGCTTGTGTTGTTGCTTGCTAAATCTGTGAACAGGCACTCAGGAAAAACAATAATCTTAGTGGAAATTTCATCAAAATCAAGGCCTTTTTTCCTTTTGTCTGATGATATTTGATTAGAATATTCCCAACTCAAAGACATGTCTCTCCAGGGAGTTTAAAGAGTTGCTCCTAAACTACATAAAGTGAATACTGGTAAGAGTGACCAATTTAGAGCTGAGAAGGAGGGTGCAGACAAGGCTTCCAGGACTGGTGGTGGTGAACCTGCTTTGTGCCAATAGCTGGGGAAGATATTAACTGAAGAGCTTCTGTGCTCATATCTGAACACAGAAAAGCAATCTAAGACCTTCTGGCATGATGTTCCTCACAAAGGACATAACCTTTGAGAGTGCTTTACTGCTTGATTCACTGTCAAGCAGTAAAGTTCACTAACTTCCCTCTGGAGCACACCAGTCTGACTGTAAAATAAATGTCACAGTTGGTGTTTTATTTTCAGCACGTGAAAGGCCTTGTAGAAAAGAAAAAAATAATTTCAAAGGCATTTGTTTCTCATAAATTTACCTAGTAGACTTCATACAAAATTACTGCAACAAGTGCTTTGCTTTAACAAAATTAGAGAAAAAATTATTATTATCCAGTTTCACTAAGTTCACTTCTGGAGACATCACTTGGTAATAAATTGTATGTTTTGTTTTGTTTTTTAAGTTCTTTCCCATTTCTGTTATTCTGATTTGGTCTCAGCTGAAGCCATATTTCTTCCTGTCTGAGAAGGCTCAAAGTTAAAACATGTTCTTCTGGGGAACATCAGTGTCTCCTTTGCACGTAGTACTACAAAGCACCCTCCCTCTATTCTGAGTTTCCATTTCCAAGTCAGATTTATCCTCAAACCAAAGTCCCATGTATGTCTGTACACCTGTTCTGTATTCTTCATCTTTGTTGTGACAACTTCAAGAAATTACCTTTAGAAAAAAAATAAGTCCAGTGGAACTTTGATATTATGGAATAGCCCTGAATATCATCCATGAGTCATGGGTGAGAAATATGGAGACACTCATGGAAAAATCACCTGATTGTGGTCATCGGCAAAGGATTCCAAAAACAGTAGCACACCAGAAAGGAGAAAAGTTATTGTACTAACAGCAAGGTTAGGTTCTTTCTTCTCAATAATACTTTTAATGAGATAAATTGTCAGTAAGTAGATAACTTTACATCATAAAACCCCTTTAAATTTATGGGCAAAAGCAGCCAGGAGGCATTGCCAAATACATTATATTATCTTTTTAACTGTATAACAACTTTATGGTTTGCATGTGTTACAACCATTTCTTTTATATTGGAAATAACACTTGAAATGTCCCCTTTTGACATTAACAAGGGATGATTTTCAGCTAAGAGAACACTGGGCCAAGCAAAGAGTTTCTGAAGTACATTTTATATGGTGCAAAAGCTCAACTGAAGGGAAAGGGGTGAAATTGTCCAAAGACAGGATGCTCAGGAAGTCATAAGCTGCTTAGTTAAGGTGTTTGCTTTCCAAAAGAGAAAATTTCCAAAGAGAAAATTTGAATAAGTTGTTGTGATTTACACTACAATCCAAAATGGCAGTGAAATAGCTTTGTAGCTTAATTTTCCCCGTATATAAACATAACAGTTTTAGACAGAGAAATTAAAAAAAATGAGAAGCTGTATGCAAATTCTTTGATGAAGAAAATTTAACAAAACTTAATTTGGCTTTGGAGAAGATGGCTTAGGAGACATCCAAAGACACACTTTGGAGAGCTCTGTCTCCAAGAACTGTTTATGTCTTCCTTCATGAAAATAAAACTAGTGTTATTAAAAACAGATGAAGTAAGAAAAATTAGCAAAATTTCAAGGTAAGTGATTTCTGAAAGGAAACGTTTGCAGAGACTTCCATTATGTATGAATGATTCTTGAAGATGGTTTTTCTCTGTGGTCCTGCTGCTGGCAGTAATATATCTATTTTTGATAATGTGGGAATTAACTTGTTTAACTCCTGTTGAAGAACTGTAGAAAGGGTAAGAATTTCTATAACATCCTAGGACATTAGTGTTGAAATCCAGGAAAAAAAATGTGTTAAATGAAGAATGACTTTGTATATGGACTACTTCAGGAAGAGATAGGGAGGAGTCCTTGAAACAGTACTAGTACTTTCAGGCATCAGTGATGGTAAGGTAATTACAGATACTTAAGGAATGTTTCTGGGTTATTTCTTAGTCTAGCAGTGAATTGTTTGCGATTTTCAACTATGATTCCTTCCTCTGCATTTATAG